TGGGCGTTAGTCTAATCTGACATCAGCCTCTATGACCCTGAGCAGGATGATGCTGGTGTAGCGGCTGAGCAGAAAGAAAGATCCCTTGTTTCCTTTTTTCCACTCAACCTTTGATTTAGGGTCAAAACTTTCCTTCAGCATCACATTCTGTAAAAAACCCAATGCAACATTCAAAGAAACATTTTTGAACCTTTTGATATGAGATGTTTACTGTACTTTAAGTGCATTTATTTGGGAGCTTTTACCTAACAGCGTATTTTCTGAACCCTCAGCTGTCACAGACACCACTGCTGACATGACATTGAAATGTGAGGAGAAAGAGCAGATACGACATGTGCAGCTCTCGAGTAACAAAAGAAATCACCGTGTTCTTGGCAGCCCTGCCTTAACCAGGTGCTTTTAGACAGGAAGCTGTGTAAATACCCAGTGTGAGAGGGCTTTTGTGTGAACATGTCTCACGAGGACAGAACCATCTAAAGTAGTTTAATAATATTCAGTAGTTAGGATTTTATGCATTTATTATCAGAAATAGAAATTGGGCATCAATGTTAAATATTCATATTATTTTCACATTTGTTTTACTCTATAATAAAAGAATATTAGTGGCTACGTCTTTTTCTATGTTCTACTGGGAACTGAAATGACCACAAAAGGTGCTGACAACAACATGAAAGGTGTTAAAAACAGTTTTCATTTTCTAACCGGGTAGTGACAGCTAGATGCAAGAACCTTTGCTTCAAAGCCTTCAGCTCACTGAAACATAGTTAGGTGCAGCAATTTCAAACAGTTTAGCTCCTTTGTGTCTCGGGCTTTTACGAGGACAAGAAGCAGCGTTGAGATTTAACAAGTCTGGGTGTGACAGAGGTCACACTGTGCAGAACCTCCCAACAATAAAACGCTTCTGTTAAATTTATATTTTAATCTCGCATCAGCTGTGATTCGTTGTTTCATATAAACAATGTGTTGTCATTTGTCATTTCCAGCTCGATTTCTACTTATCTCTGTTCCGTGCTGTGATGGTAATGTGGTTTTGCTGTTTTTAATGAACTATGAGCTCATGAGTACTAGTGATAATCACTAGCAAAAGGGCACCATGTAACCATAAGTCACCCTGCCAGAGAGCTGCTTCCTGCTTCCTGTGTGTGTGTGTGTGCCAAGGCTCTGATAGTGACTATATATGAGTGGTCTCACACACAGGAAACCAACATGCTTTCCAGGTTTGAACCAAAACTCCACTGAAGAAAACATCCTTCTGGGGCACAGACGAGTGTCTGACTTGTTTGAATCATGCTATGGAGGCGAAAAAGCATCAGTCAACCAAAACAGTTCAGGAACACCTTGTCCTGTTTAAACATAAACATGCAACAGACTTCCTGTCAAATTCTAACTGTACCTTGTGCAGAAACAGACACAATTAGAGCCTGGCAAAGTTCAATTAGACAGAACAGAAAAGTTTTTTTTCTTTAACATGTAAAACAAAATAAAAATGATCTTTGTTGTTTTCCACATGGACAAAGAATTGCTAAAGAAACCAAATATTTCTAATCCTGGGAATAAAATTGCAAATATCTGAGGCAAAGATGTTGTAAAGATGCTAAAGTTTGTGGTGTGTGTGTGTGTGTGTGTGTGTGTGTGTGTGTGTGTGTGTGTGTGTGTGTGTGTGTGTGTGTGTGTGTGTGTGTGTTTGGCTGCCCCAGGCAGTGATCTCTATCCTGACTTCCCCTCTCCTCAACAACATGTGGTTTTCAGTACCAATCCTCTGAGGAGACATTCGTTTACTGATTGCTGAAACTGTTGCAAAAGACGCTTGCCTTGTCGACCACTTTCAACACACGGAGTTGAATTGCAATGTCATTTTTTGAGCCATTTAAAGGGGACATTTTATGGAAAATTCACCTTTCGCATCATTTTGTGCCGCAATACTATCAGGATCTCTGCAGCTTCTATAAACACTCTAAATAGACAAAAAAGGCCATCCATGTTTTAAAAACCTGTTTGGTTTTAGGAATTATCGGCCTAAAACAAGCCGTGTTTTTGAAAGTCCCTATTTGTGATGTCACCATGAGAAAAATGGAATAGAACCATCTTTCACGTGCAAAAGAGAGCTGCTGCTGGAGCAGCAGTGGCTCTACTCTGATCCCCTCCTGAACATCAGAGCCTCTCAGCTTACAGCAGCCTGGGCGAAGGAGAGGTGGGTGTGGCCAGCTCCAGCTTGTTTTCTTAAAGTGACAGAGCCCTGAAACGGCTCATTCTGGAAGGTACGAAAACTGTCAAAAATAATAATGCCGATGTGACAGTGTGAGCATCCTGTCACCGTATCCCAATTGATTGTGCATCCTGGCTAATTGGCCACAGGGATATCCCATTGGCTGACTGTTTAGCATGCATGACACTCACCTGGGTGTCTGAGGATCGAATCCCACCCGAGCCCTCGTTTCTCCACTTGGCACACCAAATTTGTGTTAAATGAGAGGGATTTATTGCAAAAACCTTCTTCAAAATGTTTTATATCGACCATAGAGCCATTATCACTTAAGAAGAAAAGTCATAGCATGTCCCCTTTAACTTCAGGCTGAATAAACAGAACAGGGCCTGATGGTGTTGAGCTTAGAAGTGTTTAACTCTCAGATAGGATGTCCTAATCAAGATGTTAATGTTGTCATTGATGCAGATTTCTCTGTTTTCAGCTTCAGGCCTTTTTTATGTCACGCTGATTTTTGTCTCATCGCTGTCAGATGTTAACCACAACACCACGCAGCGCAGTGATGGTGTCACCCCTGCAATATTACTCCTTCCTGTCAAGTTTTTCTTCATTTTCTCTCCTCTGTTCAACGCTTGGTGTCTTTCTGCCCGCTTCTCAGCCACCTTCATCTTCTGGCCCGATCTCATCCTCCACCTCTGTGTCCTCTAACCACTTGACACCTTTTCAGACTCATCCCCATCAGTTGGCAGGCAGCGGGCTTTTCACCTGTGGGGCACAACGCAGCGATCCTCATGAATCAATGGCAGATAAATCAATGCTATCTCTTTTTTCCATGCCTCTGTTGCCATCGATTTTTCTTTCCTCCTTTCTGTTGCTTTACTGTTTGTGGAGTCTTGAACTTTGCTGAATTAAACCAAGTTCACTTTCAGGAACAAATTATAGCAGCTTTCAGCTTGGACACAGGCACTAATGTTGGAGCTGGCAGGAGCTTTATTCTCTAGATGTTCCATTCAGAGAGTGATTTTTTTTTTGCTCAGGCTCAACCTGAATCTATCATGAACTCTTCTTTCTTTTTTAACTGAGGCACGCAAAATGCTTGCCTTAATTGTGGAGTCTTTCATTTAGAGCCAGAGCCAACATCTAAAACAGAGACAAAGCCAATATCCTTTGATCATATTTACTACGGAAGAAGCAGATGCAATTAGTATTTAAATAACCCATTTTTTATGTTTTAGTGAAACAGTCATAGGTTTTCTTGGCAGGAAAATGTCAAAATATGACTTCATATCCAATCTTTGGGCTCTGAAGCCTGTCAGCAGGAATGATTTCAGAGAAATGCACAGACTGAGACATATTATTTTGAAGACTACATTTAATATAGCCCAAGGAAAATTATCCACAGTGATATTTCGCTAGCCTCCCCCATAAATAATTCATTGTTTTTATGTGCCCTCATGCTGCCTTGGGGATTGGGACAGCTGAGTGTTTTCACAGCGTATTTGAGTCCAATCTTCTGCGTGTTGGGCGTACTCTAATCAAACCACAGTAAACATGCCTTGAATGTTTGTTGAGTCATCTGCTTATCAGCTAATCATACGGCTTATTTGCCTGCCTCGGTGGTGCACGGCACAGCTCGGGTTTGGTGTTTTTCAATTATTTGTTCGTCTGTTTGATTGACTGCAGCGAGCTGCAGGTGATGTGACTGAATTCTTGCTATGGAGGTCTACGGTGGCAGTAAAAGGGATGAGTGATTAAAGCTAGTGCATCTAAATGGACCGAGTGAGTCTGGAGTCCCTCTGTTGTAGGAAATCCCCCTCCTCAGAAGGACATGTGCACTACTTTGGCACTTTTTCACGTAGGTGCGAGACCTCCTGAAAGGCCCGGTGTGTACATACAGCACGTGGCTGTTTTTCTTTGTGAGCTAGCATGAAAGTGCAAGTCATAGAGAAAATTTCAAAGGCAAAAGCCAGGACAGCGACACAGAGCTGCCAGGGATTGGTGAGCAATCAGATAGGGCAGAATTGATGACCTGGCTCAGGATGGATTTCTTGGAGCGGGCTGCCAGACCGAGGTAATACTTTCAGGCTCTTATCAGCACTGGCATAAGCTGAGTGCTGCATCGCCCACTTCCCAGCGTCAGCTTATTATGAGTCCATGATGTGCGATTGCTTGTACTGCCTTTGTGTGTCCTGGGGTTTGAGGGTGCTGCAGACCAAGGAGAACAACACAGAGGGCTGTAGTCACAGCGAACGGCTCACTTTCCCACTGCTGCAGTGACATTTTGCAAAGAAAAACGAAAAAAAGATGTTTTGCAAGGTTTCCTGTCATTTGTGAAAGTTGGAAGTGTCGTTGATGGAGCAGAAGTAGTTCATTCCCTTGTTCTTCGAGATATTTTAATGCAACATTTTTCTGTTTGGATAGACACTTCAGGTCTAATAAGACTATTTAAGTTAAGATTCTGCTAAAAGTCTTTGATGTCTGCAGGTCCTCACCCCCTGCCTTCCACCAGAGGATGGAGCCTTTAACCTTCGACCAGTCTGCTGGAATAAAAACAGCTAATGTGATGGTTAAAAGAGTGATTAAAGATCTCAATCTGCATCCTGTCATGGCAATTTATATCAAACCCCTTTTTTCCCCTCTGAATAAACAACGTGGTTTCAGACGCTTAGACGCCGAGCATCTCTATGGTAACAGCCTTCAATTACCGATGATTGGCCAACCCGTGGGAATATTTCTATTTCCTCAGCGCGCTGATTGGTCGGTGGGCGGTCTGAGCAGGCTGACAGTCTGCAGCGTTCCGGGTTATTGTCAGTCTCGGCAACTCGGTGGAAGGGAAGGACCGCGTCCCGGAGCTACCCGAAGCTGCCCGAAGCTGCTGGCTCTTTATTCTGTCGGAATTACTTCCTATTTTGGTTTTTAGACCAAAAAGAGGCAGTTTGAGCGTCGCTAGTGAGGTTACTCTCCCACCTCACGTGGAAATTGGAGTCTGAATCGGGAGGAAAACCCATCCGAGAGAGAGGCACGGAGAAAGTGACGGACGGAGCAGAGCCTGCTCTCCGGGATTTTACGTCGCATCGTGTCGGTTCAGGATACTCCGGGCAGCCATCGGGCCCTGCTTTGATGTCTTTCAGGGTATATTAACACAATATTGCCTAAATACTATTTTCTAACCTTTGCATGGAACATTTCACATCAAACCGTCTGTAAGGGAGCAGGCGGACCCGTGCGTAATAGCGGGGATTTTGGAATACTGCGTTGCCGTTAAATCACCGAGTCTTTCGAGGAGAAAAAAGAGTTTTATTCAATTTTTATTTCTTATAGTTAAGAGAACAGATTAAGACGGACCTCTTGTGTTGATTCGGAAGCTGAACGTTTTAAACCAGAAGTGCACTTAAGTGCGCAATCCTTCCGAGGACGCTTCTGAAACTGCCGAGCTGCGCGTCTGCCCCCGAGAATAAATTGGCAACCGAGTCGAGAGGAGAAAAAAGGCAAAGCTTATTAAGTTTGCATGCTGAAGGCAAGCGTGTGGAATCTATAATTTCCAGGGTTGCTGGTGTTTCTGCATACCTTCCGAGGACGAGGATAAACTTCATCAACATTCGAAATCGAGAAACCGCAGCTGGATTTGAGCGGAGCAGAATGAATCTTTTCTAATTTGGTCCACAGAAGAATGAGGCAGATTCATCACTGAACGCAACGATCTGCATGGAGTTCTAGTCTGCACTAAGGAGCAATTTATGGTAAATATCCTTCACTTCTTCTCAACCTCAAGTCTTCTAGATCCCAAATGTTTTGGGCTTGTCTGTTATCATGAGCCTGATGATACTGACAGGATGAAACAACTCCAGAAATTAATGAATGTTGGGCTTATTTTTTCCCTCTGGACGCAACTCGCATAACGTTCTCTCTGATTTAGACTCTTTGTTTCCATGCGTGACCCACAATAAACGCAGTGTTGTAAAAATCGACTTGTTGGAGAGCCGCAGCCGAATAGCTCCAGGAACTGCTTTGATGTGTAATATTGGGCTTTACAAGTAAGGGTAGCAATTAGGAGTGCTGTCGAGGGCGATGCACTGCGGGCGTCTCATGTGTGGCGCTGGAACGACTGCGGCTTTGAGCAAAAGGTGCGATTTTTTTTTTCATCCACTCGCCCCCGTGCGTCACTGCGCGCGGAGGGTAACTCCAGTGTCTGCTGCAATTAGCGATGTTCACCCCGGAGTGTCGATGCAATATAATCTTTTTTTATAGTGTGCCTATATAGTGTGACAGGCTTTTATCGAGGAACTCATAAATTTGACGGAGATGTGTGCGCAGCGCTGTAAAACTTTTCACTTGATGCTCGCCCACACGGAGGATGATGATGGTGCTCTGTGGATTTGTCACTGCCCTGCAGATTATTGCAGACGTGTCCTCTGCAGGGCTCCATAAGGACGGATGATCATGCATACATGAAATGCGCGGATCCCTTGAATGTATGGCTGTGAGCTAATAAAACTCAGGGCTGTTTGAACTTTGGAGCCTCGTGGGTTGCTGAGGTTGCTTTGCAATATTTAGCCTCATTGCTCACACTGCACCGAGACCAAGCTTCACATTATGCTGACTGCGCCGGTGGAAAAATAAAAAAAATTAAAAAAAGAAGCTGCAGACGGTGTGTTTTATCATTGGACTACAAGCATCCTCAAAATTGATCCTCCTGTCTGGCTCCAGTCATTCTCTGTCTCGCAGCCCTGCAGATAGGCGGCTCTCTGAATGTAATATGGGCCCCTACAGCAGGGCCGGCGCCCCCACAGTCAGGGCACCTGCCATAGAGCCTTCCTGGCTGTATTGAATAAAACATCCAGTGATGTATGAGACAGGAGCTGCACCCGAGGGGACAGAACTGCCTCATTTACTTCCTCCACTCTGCGCCTATGACCTGCTGAGCAAATTGTGCTCATATTAGCTCTGTGGCTGCTCCTCACCTAAACAAATAGTCTCTCCAGCATAATGCTTGCCTTAACTCAACATGATGGTTGGAGAAAAAAAAAAAGAAGAGGAAAGAATGGCAGTAAAAAAAATCTGTAATATGTGGGTCACTGAATTACCTTTTTGGAGTTTGTTTTTGCCTCTTTTTTTTTTTTTGGTTTTCTGTTAGATCTTTTCTTATAGCAGTGGACTCTCAAATGTCCCGCTGCAGGCTTAAAGCTGCACACCTTCTCTTGTTATTCATTTTTTTGGTGCTTTTACCTCGTTCTTTCCTCTCCCATCTAAATGCAATCACAGCAGCCTTTCCTTTGCTTGCTGATGGAATCAAAAGCATCTAAATTAGTTAAGTAAAGTCTAATCTGTTGTACTCATTAAGCTGCCAACAGTTGGGAGGCGGGGAGAATATTTTAGCCATGCATTAACAAAGTAATATGCTAAGAGAAGGCTTGGCATTTTATCAATGTGCAACTCAAATTGCATATAACTCTTGATTGATCACAATTGGGTTCCTTACTGTATTCTTTTGCTTATTAAAGTGCCTGCTTGATGAGACAAAGTGAGCTGAAGTTGCTGAAGTTTAATTTCCTGTGCTGTGCATTAATCTTCTTTAATTCCTGCACAATTTGACTGTCTCAACACCTTTCCAGAGGTTGTGAAGCTCATTTTGGCACTTAAGGTGACTAAAATAGTAGATAGTGATAGGTGTGTGTGTGTGTGTGTGTGTGTGTGTGTGTGTGTGTGTGTGTATGTGTGTAATCCTTAGGTTTCTAATCTTGTGTGGACTTTTTTACTTAAAGTACAGCTATTCAGTCACATAAAATACTATTGTTAAGACCAATTTACTTTCTGATGACCATTTTTATAGAAGTATATACCGTAGGTGGGAGAAAAAGCTTCTTTCCCCTTCCTGTAAAAGAAAAGTAAAGACACGATTAGCTGAAATTAGCCAGTATCGCTGAAAACCACAAAGTGTCTTACCTGGAAATATCAGCAGACACCTGAAAGGAACGAGAAAAAGAAAATCCTTTCAAAGCGACGTCAATGGCATCTCATCAGCCACCTGATCAAAGTGTCTCACATCTAGAAAACTCTAGCAACGGTCCTTGTTTTAACACTTTTTAATGTGCAGACAAACAAAAGAGACATGCCCTTTGTTGTGCTTCACAATTTTACATGATTTGATACTCATGCACATCAGTAACCGTGATGCTGCGACAGAGCATGAAAAGAGAAGCATAAAACAAAAGCGTTGCATGCAAATGACTGTAGAGAAGAAAACAAAGCCTTCAGCTAGTCGTTGTGAATAAACGCAGGTGAGAGAGATGTTCCGTCTCCAGCTGAGATGATGGCGTTGACGCGGTTTGACAGGCGGGATTAGCAGGGTTTGTGTGTTTGGAGTTAACGTTTGCAGCACTTTCCGCTCTAAACTGCACCATGTAGCCCTGGACGCATGCATCAAGCGGCACACCATTATTGTGACTATTATAGCACTAAATGATTGATCCTCATTGGCTTTAGCTGCACTGACAGATCCAAATGAACAGCTCTAATCTATTAGCTAAGAGTCCTTGTCATTTAGCAGGTCGCGGGGGGCTGAAGCCTCTCCCGCAGACAATAGGCGAGACAGAGTCCATCACAGGGCTAACTCAAAGAGACGGAGCAGCACATATGGGCAGTTTGGAATCGAGGATATAGCACGCACGTTTTTGGATTGAGGGAGGAATCGGCGGAACCGTAATGCTACGACGATTACTCAAACACAGCTAAACTAAAGGCTAGTTTGCAGGTTTACTAACCATGTGTGCTAATCTAATGAAAATGAAAGCCTTCCAAATCCAAAATAATTCAGCTTTATTCTTCAAGCACAGTGTGATTTAATTAGGTTTGCATTGCTGCACAAATACGGATATCACCCAGCTGACTTAGACGCCGCTTCTTGTTTTTAGGAACCGAAGTTTTAGCACCGAAGCTCCATTAAACAAAATAAAAATAAAAAATGCTTTCTGCTTCTGTGATTTTTGTTGTTGTTTTGACTGGACTCTGCTCATGAGGCCTGGCCAGATCCTCATCAGGGTTATCTGCAGCCAGTGAGCAGATGACAGACATCAGCATTCCTCCATTCTCCTCCTCCTCTTCCCCTCTCACCTCCCAGTCCACGTCTCGCCGGGTTTCAGGGTTAATGTATAGTCTTCAGTTTGGAAAGGTTAAGGGCGGCCGGTCAGCTCTTCTTCCCAAAATGCTCTCTGCATGTGGAATATCTTAAACAGGAACTGTGAAGTTTATATGAGGTTAATGAGTAGCCTGCACACTCGTGCTGCACAGCTTATAGTTTGTTCCATAAGTTAGCCTGAAGTAGGAGATAAGCTGGCTTCTCCCAAACACTTCCTCAAGGGGGAAGAAGGAGAATAAAGCAAATCTGACAAGCTCTCCAACAGCAAATTTGCTCTCCTTAAAAACAATGCCGCTCTTGCTTTCCTCATGGTCACATTGATTTGTTCTGGGTGACAATGCAGGCTGCTGTGAAATCACCCCAGCACCATTGATCTCAAGGAGAAGAGGAGGCGAGGGAATGAGAGGCTGGCGACAGAGCAACATGAGAAAATCCACAGCTTTGCCCTCTTCAACCTTAACCAGTAATAAAACGAAGGCCTTGGCTGCTATCAGATCAGCCCCCGCTGCACTCCTCCAGCCGCGCTGCTGTGGTTTGGTCCGAGCTTTGATTTGTTTTGAAGGCCCGCACATGCAGTTTGATTTGCCATTGTGCCTCGCCATGTTTCACATTATCAGCTGAACTCTTTATTGCTACTGTTTTCCATGCCAGAAGCGAGGCTGTATTTTGTTTTATCTCACACAGGCCTCTGATTAATCTCCCCCTCTATGCTGGTGTACTTTAATCTTGAACGGGAGATATCTGATTCTCCTCGACTATTGAGGAAGATCAAACTTTAATGGAACAAGGAACTGCACATCATGCTAATCTCCATCTCCCCGCATTTTGGTTGACTGCTCTCCCTTGGGCTTTGTAGCTTTCTGCAGAGGCAGGAAATACATCAGACAGATAAGATGTTTTCCCCTTCGTTCATTGGTAATTTATTCCCCGTTGACAATGGCCACCACTTTACCTCTCTGCATTTTGATTACCTGATTGATTTTCAGAAACGGTGAAAACAGGAGAAATGGTCCTCTGTTCTTGTTTGACCCAAACTCAGCAGCATCCTTGTGGGTTTCTTCTGAAATGTACCGGTTTGTGTATTTATTGACCAGCAGGGGAAAGGGGGGGGGGGGGGGGGGGGTGTCGTAGCCTTAGGAGAGAGACGTCCGCTGCATGGATGCATCAAGGTTCAACGCTTTTCATTACACCAGTCGTTTCAGGAATTAGCTATTGACTCCTGTTTTGTTCTTTCACTTCCTCCACATCACTAAGTAACGTGCCACATTATGCTGACCGGCATCTGGACTGCCACTGGCGCCGTGCATTTTGTTGCAAATGGATAACGCTTATGGGGTGTCACACCTCCTGCAGACGGCTTGCGTCTGTGACAAAAAGAGGCTATTACCCAATTGTAAGGCCGTTGCTGTAAGGTAATGAAATTTCCACTGACTGGAGAAAACAATGTTGTCTGGTCCGGGGCTGTAATTGCCGAAGCCGCCTCGCCATTTTCCCCGAGTTCAGCGTGAATGCAACACGATTTAATAAAACTGGAGATTTTTATCATTTATTGCCAGGCCTGACAGCCGCGCGTCAGGGAAAGTATGAGCCGGGGCGTGTGCAGAT